ATCTCTTAATCCATGGAATGTCAAATGATTGTTGTTGTGAGGATCAGAGATATCCTAGAGGAAGGACAGACTGTAAATCAAATGAATGAATGAATAAAAGTAATACGGATGTTCTCTCTGTAATGTTAGATCTGTGAGAAACCATTCAGCAGTAAACCTCAACCATGGAATTTCACGGCTTGGAATTAGTAGATGTGAAAAAGGCACACCCTCTCTTTGAGCTTGTCTCAAGAGACTCATTCCAGAAATTCCAATATTGCACAGGAGAAAAGTCTTCAAAACATAACAGATACCAAGGAAAGCTTGATTTTCTAGGAGTGGAGTTTAGTTCCTCCAATATGTTGCCTCTTTAGACCTCAGAACCAAAATCTTTCTAGGTTCTGGGAATGTCCTGTTGAGTTGGGTTTCACAGTCTGAAAAAGTAATAGGATTCACTGATTAGCTAGGACCAGGCCAGATACAGAAGGAATATGGCAACGCTTACCCTCTGAACTAGCCCCATATTGGGCCCAGTCCAGAGACGAGACAGTGAGATTTAATCAAGTCTAATCCTTTATTTGCTTATACCTAACAGACAGAATCTTGCCAAATTAAAGTTATATTTTTCTAAGCTACTAGATATAACCTGAGAGATTATAGGCTGTGGTTATCCTGAATTCCCCCCTCCCTACAGCCTCCAGCTGAGGACTGCACTGGGTTTTTTTTTCTGGGAAAGCTCTGATTTGGCAAAATCCTCCCCCTCTGCTGCTTCAGGTACACATTCCATCACACCCCAGCTCCCAGGGGATTGTGGTTTCAGGAATCTTAACCCTAGGTCAGCCAAACAACTCTAGCAAGTAGCTATGGATAAGGACCCCCACCTTCCCTTTCTTGCCCTCCTTTTAGGAGACACCACGCAGTTCTCAGTCCTTGTGAATCAAGAGTGTAAAACGGACAGATATGGCAATCTTTCTCCTTTTTGCTCTCCTGCTACCAAATTAATGTATTGTGTTTCTTTACACATAGGCTGACTTCTCAGTCCTCTTTGTCTTCCCTGTCCTTTTTCCCTCATTCCTCTCCTGCTCTATCTGTTACATACAAGTGTTTTTCAGGTTTCTTTGCACCCTTCTATTGTTTGAACTCCTGTGTCCAAAAGCTAGGGCATGCATGCCAGGACTTCTTTGTGCTTATTGAAAATGCATTCTCCCTCCCCTCTCTCTCCCCTCCCTTCCTCCCTCCCTCCCTCTTTCTCTCTGTCCTCCCTCTCTTAGATAGAGAATAAAGTTTCTAAAGAACATATATTGGATTCACTCTCTTCCTTAAAAACTGTACATGTTACATGTTGTTGCTAGACCTCAAGGAACTGCTGTTCACGGCTATTCCTTCCTATGTAATTGCCGTTTCCCCAGCAATTGCTGCATTCTCTTTGCTTTTTGCCTTTTTCAAAGGCATGTATGATTGAAGTCCACATTTGCACAGTTTTAACAACTTTTTTTTAAAGGCTTATCTGTGAACTGGTCACTGCTAAACAGTTCCTGAGGAAAAATTTAGGGCTGATTTCAGTCTGAATATGAATCAGCAATGTGACAGGGTTGAAAAAAAGGCAAATGTAATTTTAGGTGCATCAACAGAAGTATAGTTTTCAAACCATATGAACTAATAATTCTAATGATAGCAGTGTTCCAATATCTCAGGGGCTGCCACAAAGAAGAGGGAGTCAAGCTATTTTCCAAGGCGCCTGAAGGCAGGACAAGAAACAACGGATGGAAACTAATCAAGGAGAGAAGCAACCTAGAACTAAGGAGAAACTTCCTGACAGTTAGAACAGTTAACCAGTGGAACAACCTGCCTCCAGAAGCGGTGAATGCTCCAACACTGGAAGTTTTTAAGAGGAGACTGGACAGCTATTTGTCTGAAATGGTATATGGTTTCCTGCCTGAGCAGGGGATTGGACTAGATGACCTCCAAGATCCCTTCCAATTTTTAATAATAATAATAATAATAATAATAATAATAATTAATGTATGCTTTAATAGCCAGACCCTATTTAAGCAGTGTGTTCAGTTCAGAGCATCTTGATTTAGGAAAAAGTCAGTCAAACTGGAATGGGTTTACAAAAGGGCAATGAGAACATCAAGATATTAGAAACTAAGCTCATTTTCCATGTTTGTGATTTATAGCATCTTCTGGAGTCATCCAGCCATAATTTTGCCAGCATAATAATGTGGGCAGGTTTTATATTGCTTCAGTGATGCCTAGGTGATGCTATATGTCACTACTGTGGAAATGACCGGGGTCATTCAAGGACAAGATTGAGGAAACATTTAAGCCTTGAAAAAAGACCAAGTGAAAAAAATATCTTCATAAGGAAGAAAGTTGTGGAACAATGGAATTAAGATATAAGAAGAGAGATTCTAGCCAAAAGTTAAAAAGACTTTCCAACAGTAAGAGAAATTAAACCTGAGAAATGTGGTGGGGTCTCCTTCTTAGCATGTCTTAAGCAGAGTAAATGACTTCAACTATACGCCTGCACTGAGCAAAGGTTGTATTTTGTAGTCAAAGTGACCCCTTCCAATTCCAACCTCCTCTGGATGCTTCGGTTGCCAAGAAAGGGAAAAACAAACAAACAAAAATAACCATACCATTATCCAATTTCTTAGACTTCTACCAACTATGCAAGACTTTTCATTCTAAATTGGGTCAGGTTAATAGAGCATCCTGAATATTTGTTTCCAACATCACCATGAGTGAAATCACAGCAGCTGCATTTTGATTCTTTCAACAGTTTGTCTTGCAATGTCTGGAGGTACATTTTTAAGAGAAAAAGATGCTGCTACTAAACAGTACACTGATCGTGTTTGGAAAAAGTAAATGTCATCACAAAAATTATTTGGATTGTATTTCATGTTTAAATAAAACAATATGCAACTTGGTACATGCATTAAAAGATCAAGTTAGAAGAAAAGTAAACTGAAAAATGATCTGGGCTTTTATTTAGGATATAAATGTGCAGAATGAAGAAAAGATGACTGTGATCAGCCAAAATGGGAAAGAAGAGCTCACCTTCTTAGATTACATACACATTCACTGCAAAGAGATTCCTAGACTGAGAAACCTGCTAAGATGGCTCATTATCTAAGGGAGATGGTTTTGTTAATTATAATAAAGTATTCTTGTCAATACTGCAGTAATTTTTAAAGTGGGCAATATTCCTGAGCAATACTGTCTGCCTTTGGTTTTTTGGAAATAAAGTTATAAAATTGGGTCTGGTTACATGGATGTCTTGACCTACAACCACGACGATGATGGTTTAGTATTATTTTAACTATTAGGATTATAATTTTTATTTATTATAGTTTTAGTCTCCTGATTAGAAGTTTCAATTGGTACAAAATGCAGCAGGGTGGGTAGTTACAGGCATATCTTGCTATGCCTATGCAAGCATCTGGGTGCGAGTCAAGGGGCTGGTTATTACTTCTAAAGGTATAGCCTAGTGCACTGGAATGTGAGACTCCAAAAACAACACACCTACACCCCTCCCTATGGTAGCTCAAGGCAGAAGAACTGCAGGAAATATGACAGTATTGAACTTTTCATGGCTAGCAACTTCATCCTCTTCATTATTATAAAATGTTTTTGAAGAAAGTAATGGCCTTGGAAATTAGTTTCAGTTAAAATGTGGGATGAAAATATATCGTTTCCAGGTATATCATTTTCAAATATTGCCATTAAAACAAATAGGAAAAGTTTGTTGGCATCAGATGCTTTGGGCTGTAATCCATGAAATTTTGTGGTGTGGTAAGTTGTTTTTAAGATGCACAACATTCTCGGTGGTTTAAATTCGATTAATAACTCTCAGTGGCATCTGCAATTTGTGCTAATGTGATTACTTGCAGTTCAGATAGTTATGTAGCACTTAAGAGTACTTCTCTAATTGGATGGCCATGGCTAGTAGTCTGGAAGTAAACTTTTCATGCTGGTCAAGTAGGGGAAAGGTGTTGGCATCTGTTGTTGACAGAAGAACTCCCCAAAATATCAGCTGATAAACAACACACCCAACCCCCAAAGACAAAGCCTAACTTTCCTTCTTCATGTTGCCTAACCTGCCCTGGAGGGAAAGAAAGGCAGGAAAAGTTCTGTGTTTGCAGTTCTAAGTGGGAGCAAAAATTGGTAATGAAATTGAATTGGAATTGAAATGAAAGTGAAAATTAGAAGAAAATGCATATAAAGTAGGGTTCGGTATGTGGGGAGGAAAGTGCATTATACTTATTCATTGACTCTGTATACAGTAAATTACACCTTTGCGCCCATTTTAATGAATTTTAAGCAACTACCACCAACTGATTTTGCAGACATTGTCACTTAGCAACCATGGAACACCAGCCAGGTCCATTCAGCCGCACATAAAAAGAGTAGAATAGGGTACATTGCTTTTTAATTCCCTTGCTCTGATTGAAAGTATGTCAAAACCTTTCCCAATCTGGTGCCCGTCAGGGAAGTTGGACTAACGCTTCCATAACCGTCAGCCAGTGTGGTCAAATAGCTGGGGATTTCAGAAGCTAAAGTACAAGCACATCTGGAAAGCACCAGATTGGGACCCATCCAGGCTACCCAGCCACCGCAGAGAGCACAGTAGAAAGGCGGCGGCGGCGGCGGCTGGGTGGAGGCAGGAGAAGGGAATTAAACTTTCCACTATTGCCCAAAGCTCGAAGGCGTTGAAGAAGAATGGAGAAAAAGAAGGAGAGGGTGAGGCATCTCAATAAAAATAAAAATAAATAAGTGCTCCCAATCTGAAACTGCTTTTTGACTCTTCGCGACGCTGCAAAAGTTTTGATTTGGGGGGAAAGAAATATCGCCCAGTAATCGTTAGAAGCAGCAAAATTCTCTCTCTCTCTCTCTCTCTCTCTCTCACACACACACACACACACACACACACACACACACCCTCTCCTTCTCCCTCCCTCGTTCCCAAATTTGATTCCCTCGGCAGTCCCCAAGAACCTAGCGGGTCCCCTCCTTACCCGGCGCGTCTCTTCTTTCTTTACCAACCCTCGCTCCTTCTTTTTTCACGGCCTGCCGCTTCCAGCCCCGGATCACCAGACAGGCATCCCTTCGCGGCCAAAGCTCTCCCTTTGGTTCCGAGAACAGAGGCGAAAAAGAAACCCGATTGTTTTCCACAGATGGGCGCTGTTCAGGACGGAGACGCTCCCGGCCGCGCCTGCTCTTCTCAACCGCGAACGAGAAGGCAGCGCACTGGCGCTAGAAAGTGGCAGGAAGCCCAGAAGACGACAGCCCTGCCTGCGCTCCCACGTGGAAGGCGTGGGGAAAAACGGGAAGGGCGCCGGGTTGAATCTCATGCAGGGCGGAGCCGGCATCGCCGACCGGTTCTGCCGTTATGCCCCGTATGACTGTGATCCAGCATTTTCTGGGGAGCGAAAGCCGCGATCCTACGCCCCGCTGCCCCGGGAGGGATACATCTGCCGCCTCTCATTGCACTGCGAGACTCTTCGCACGGAGTGACCTCGCTAAACGTGGGCTAGCTCTGCTGGCTGGTGGCGTTGGGAAAGTGGGCGGGAAGTTCCAGGCTGTAGTAGAGGAATAGCTGGAGGGGGGCTCCGTGTGTGCTTTGGGGGGGGGGGTGGTGGCATCGGTTCCTCTCGTAAGAGCTACTCTTGTGATAGGCCACTTTTTAACTCCGGAGAGCAGCTGCCGATCCGAATAGGTGACATTGTTTTGTGGGGTGGGGAGAGAAGTTGCGCACCACTACACCAAACTTCTAAAGTAACTTTCTGGGCTGGGTTGCACACTGCATGTGCCTTGGAGGGCTGCTCAGAGATTTCTGTATATCTCTCTTGTCCCATTTTAAAACTGCCATTTAGATACTTTTTCTTAGATTATTATGGGCCCATCTTGTCCAGAACTCTGACACCATAAAGGGCTTCTTCCCCCCATCACTTGCTACCTGAACATGTTAATCAGAAGGCCAACATATTACTTTGGCAGATCTAACAATGTACGCTATTTCTGAACAAGTCATCCAGGGGAGGATAGAGAAAAACTGCAGTTCATTAGTAGAGCCAAGTATTTACAGGTCTTGTTTGGGGGTGGGAGAGGGAGGATCACTTTCTCTTTGAGCCTTTAGGGCAGTGTTTCTCAACCTTGGCGAGTTTAAGATGTCTGGACTTCAAGTCCCAGAATTCCTTAGCCAACATTGCTGGTTGGGGAATTCTGGGAGTTGAGGTCCACAATTCTAAAGTCACCAAGGTTGAGAAACACTGCTTTAGGGGGTTTAGATTATAAAGTGACAACACAGGACTGCCCATGGCTGAAATTTGTTGAACATTCTTTCCATTTTGCCTTTAATATTTTTCTGCTGGTAGACCAACCAACAAGGGTTTTAGCAGTGCTGTGGATATTGTGAATACCTGTAATGCTTAACCCATTTTGCTCCTTAGCTTTCTTCCAACCTTTAAAAAACAAAAGATCTGAAAATGTCAATTCTGCCTAAGGAAGTTGGGGCTACTAATTGGGTACTGGGGTTGGGAATATGTCTGTAGATTGCCCTTCCTCTGGTTTAAGCAATAGCAACGGTGAGTTTATAAATAGTCTGACTAAGGAAGCAGAGACAGTTCAAGAGCCAGTGGTTAAAGCATCTGGCTGGAGTTCTAGTTCTGCCTTAGGCTGGGTGAATTTGAGCCAGTCATTCTTCCTCAGCACTAGGAAGAAGGCAATGGCAAGCTACTGTTGAACTGTTGCCAAGAAAATGTGCAGAGTCCTCTCCAGGTAGTTTGTTTGTTTATTTAACAAATTTAGATGGCTGCCCAACTTACGCACAGGGCAGCTTACAGCATTAAAAAATCCACAACATTAAAACCATACAAGTCCCACCACCAGCCCATACCCCATAGCAGCAGCAACACAATCAAATCAACCACTTAATAAGCTCCATCTTCATTTGGTGTCCCCAGGCCCACCTGACAAAACTATTCAGGGCTTTTCAGAAGAGCAACAAGGTGGGGGCCAGTTGTAGATCTGGCAGCTGACGTGACTCAGAAGCACACACAACAAAAGGATACAGCAGTTTCCTATTTTTCCGATGCCTCTGTGACTCTTTGCTCACAAAGCAAGGCTCACAATGAGTCAATCGATTTATAGACCGCAGGGTTAAACTCAACATTTTATCATTCTAGCATGTTTGCCTTTACAACATCTTTATTTTTAGGGCTACTGCTGGGAGTGACTCATGGTAGATTCCCACTTTATTCAAAGTAAAATATTTCTGTAGTGCTTTTTTTTGGGACAATGCAAGGAGTCAAATTTCACAGTGTGAATATTTTGGAACAGTGTAGAATTCCCTTCTCTTTTTATTGAATAAGTCATTTTTTAAAAAAAGAAAAAAAATCTTATTTTAAATAGTAAAATAAATTGTAATAAATAGTAACTATACTTTAAAAAATGGATTAAGATTGATATTGCCAGATTGTGCAGTAATGTGACTCCCTAAGGGTTAAATGAATTTCTGCAACCTCCTTCTATATCACAAAATAACTGATAGTGATTAATTAGCCAATAATTAAATGACTAAATAATAAACAACACTGTGACCCATGGATAATTTTGGAAGAAGCTCAAATCTCTGGTTTTAGCTCTTTCTCAAAATACTCAGCTTTGCTATTCAGCTTCTCACAGACAAAGGTGGGCTGTTGGAAATGAGTTTTGATACTAGTCCAGATATTTCAGTTTTTAAAAAAAGTATTTGTAACTCTTAAGTTGCTAAGTTAACCTGGAAAATCACAACCTACAACTGAGAATTGTATCTCTGCAGGCTAACAGATTTCTCATCCCAGAGATATGTCTTTGGTTGAGCTAAATTCAGTCCCAAAGCTGAGTTAACATGTGCCTAGGGGATGGTATAACTTAATATGATGGGCTGCGCCATATTTTAGCAGAATGACCATATGTCACTCTAAAAGTAAACTGCAGGCAGTTTGCAGATCATCAATACAGGGAGAGATGATACACATTTAGAAACAATATTTGAAAGCATTGAAGCCGATGAAGAGAGAACCAGAAGTTCCTAGGCTAAAGAAGGTCACAACAATAATATACAACTTTAAATTTCAAAGTCTCAAACAATCTGTAAAGAGGAAAGAAGAAAAGTTGAGTTTAAAGTCCAGAGAATACAAATTTGGGGAAATTATTGACTTCCAAGATAAAACGTTTTAATTCTTACATATTTTGATTAGATAAATTAGAGAACAGGTGATAAAGGTGCTGGTTGGCTAAAGTTTTCAAGATATTTCACGATAAAGATTTATACACAGGTGAGTATATTTGCCTACAAGGGACGGAGGTGTCTAATAATCATGATGCCTTGTAACTTCTTGACAAAGTATTGTAGAACAATGAAAATGGTACCACATGGAAGTGTATAAATTTATCTTCACTTTGAGACTAAAGATTATTACCTAACTATAATTTATTGTTCTTTTATTGCAAGGTCCATTTGTCTTGGTCAGATCTATGTATCATATAGTTACATCTGATGGCTTGTGAAGGTGTTATTGCCTAACATTTCCAAGGAGCAGTTGTGTGATATTTTTCCTCAGAAGCCAAGATGCCATAAAACGGTGTAAACAATGCAGATAACTTCTGCTACATTTGTGGTGAGTTTACATTTGCATCTCAAAAGTGCAGTATGATGGCAGTGGTAAAAAAAGGCATACCATGTATATTTTGATTACAAAACAGGGGATCAGAACAAGAGTTGGCCTTTCATTATTGTTGCATTACATGTGTAACTTAATAAAAGTCCATGCCTTTTGTCGTTCCAGTGGTGTGGAGAGAACCCACCAATCATAGTAGCGACTGCTCTTTTCACATGGTTCCCCCAATTGCAAAAGAGTTTTCAACAAAGAAGAAGTAGATTGTGGAATATCCAAACATTCCATCTGCACTGCGTCCTGTTTCCCATAGTGAGGACTTGTCAATTCCAGATCCACCAGAATCCTGCTCTCTAGACTCAGATGATAAAGATGATGAACAGGATGGAGCTGATCTGGGGTTGTTGATGTCAGCGGACCCAAACTTTAGCCCACCGCATGTTCCTCCTGAACTACATCTAATTTCAAAGAGTGAACTAAATGACCTGGTTAGGGATTTGGAATTGCCTAAGAGTAAGGCAGAGCTACTGGGCCCCAGATTATAATAGTGGAAACTTGTTGTTTAATCTGATGTTAGAGCTCGTCAGTTTTTCTTGCAAAAAGCATGAAAATGTTACATGAAAAACCAATAAATGAATGGAAAGGTATGTTATTGGTATCAATAAAAAGATAAATTTATAATGATTGGTGTGGCATCCTTCTCACTGCTATATCACATTTTGCAGAAAAGTAATGGAGCATAATCGCACAACCCATTCGTAATTTTGAATTATTTTTATGCAATTTAGACCTGAAGCTGTAGTTTGGAAACTGGAGCCAATTAATACTCAGGACTTAATTTTCCTTTATTAGTGACTCAATTCTGGTAAAATTAAGCTACTTTCATTTCCGAGGCTTTCTCCTTGTAGACCAGTAATAAATGTCCTTGCTACCTTTGCACTATAGTTTATATTGTATTTGTATTTATTTGTGATTGTAAATCATATGTTTATCATTTTGGCCTGCAATAAACATTCTAATCAATTCAAGCTGTGTTTGTGAGTTTTCTGCCAAGGCAAGCCAAAAAGTTAAGTCTTGAAGCTTAATCTCAAACTATGATTGATAGCCATAACTTCGTTGGAAGAATCTGATGAACATGTATAATTCAAATAGTATTGCAAAATACCCCTCTGTAGTCTGGGGATAATTGTGATCAGGTTGTCATGTACCTGCTTGGTCTGCTACATGGGCATTTGGGGGGCAAATGGTCCAAAAAAGGGTCCAAGAGGATGGCTGTGAACCTGCAAAAAAAAAAAAAAAAAGAAGAAGCCCTAAATGAAGTTTGGGTGTGTAGGGGCTAATCAAATGGTTGTACGTGTCATCTTCACTTTCTGGGTTCCCACTCATCTCCTCCCCTTTTACATTATATGTAAAAGTAATGTGATTCAAATGTTAATAGTTTTTTTTTAAATAAGATCCCTTGCAATTAAACCAAACAGAAGAGGCAGAATTAAAATGTCTCCCCAAAGGTGTTGATAAAATTAGGTTCATTTATTTTATATACTGTATATGTTTATTTAGCCATCTCTTAAAACTTGCCCAGGGCTTTGCTTTCCACTTGTACAAACCTACTTTACCAGGCTTGCACAAGTAAAATCAGAATATTATCCACAGAAGGAAGGGGTTTGGCAAAATTTAAGCTTTGCTTGTGCAAACCTCAGCTTTAAAAAAACCCGTGATTCTCCCATTGCTTGCAAATACCAGTGTTGTAACCCACATTTTGAAGGATTACATTTCCCATCTCTGCATAAAATGATGCTGATC